GTTGGAAATAATAAATGATACCTTGATTAGATTGGTGATGGAAGTTTTGTTCAGTGTCGTGCTCTCACTCGTCTTAATCTGCTCCATAGCTTCATCAGTCATTTTCCCATTTTCCAAGTGTCGAGTACAACACCTTGCACCAGACGGGATAATTATCCCTCGACTGATGAATACAAACATACGAACATGATGGGAAACTGTAACAAGTTTGGGTCCCGGTTTCTTGCAAACAAGGCAGTAACCATGGCTTTGGGATGTTGATGGAATTGGCAGGGGAACGGAAGGAGGACTATGAAATGAGAGTCTGGTTTTCTTTGGATTTGGTGATGCATAAGTTGGATCCTCTTTTTCCTCCTGGGGAGCTGGCCTTGACAATGTGAGTCCTGTGGCTATAGATTTACTCTTTTTCCTACACTTATGACGACACTTATTACACAAAACGTCTGTGTCTTCCACATTTACAGAAAAATGTTTCTGTAAAACATTAAGAAATAAAGTAGCTGGCCGTCGTTCATCCTGGGGGATCTTCTTGTTGCACAGAGCACACTTATATCGTCTCTCATCCATCCTTTTAAAAAATAATTAAATCAATAAGTCAAAGGTCCACGTCATCATGGTCATCTTCATCGATTAAATTTTGAAAATGATCGTAATACATCATGATTTACAGACATACACAATAAGCTGAATTTTAGTTATTATATGTACCCTCATTTGTAATGATCAGACAATTAAAAGAAAAAATTATAAGCCTGAAAATAAATATGGTTTATCAAAGAAAATCGACCCCATTTTAACACTTTTCAGCTTAACACACTTTTTTTAATTTAGAATTTTTTCTGGGTTAGCATCGTAAGGTTTGATTATTATTTTTTTTTTATTGTTATTAAATTTCTATCGAGTTTATTTATTTGAATTTATATTGATCCACCTGGCCTCAATCCCCAACACAAATCCGATGTAAGACCCAACAAATGGAAAAAAGTATGCATTTTTACTTTTTTCTTGGTTTACCTATTTATTTACTTATTTTATAGTGTGTTGACCCCCCCCCCCTCCCCCCCCTCCTCACTATATCCCCAGAATTTGCATTTGCCTATGGTAAAAGTCTGTCATATGATCAATCAAATACTAGTTGATAATTTCAATTGAATCATCATGCAGATCATTGCCTCTTTTAAAGAATAGTATTATACATTTTAATTTCAATATTTCAGTATATTATATTTTATTTATACTTAGGCCCCAAATCAAACCATATATACAAAAAAAATAAAATAAAATAAATAAAATAAAATAAATTTATATTTCCCAGAGAAAGAGAATATATGCTTGTTGTATAAAATCGGCAAAAATTTTGAGCTACCCTGTACCTTCCAAAAATTGGAATTCCCCTTCTTGACATTTAGTGTAGAGTGGATGTTTTTATTTACAACATATCACGGTAAAACTGTATCGTCCTCGCCTATTATGGTTTTACGTTTTCAATACACAAGAAATATAACACCATAAAAATGCAGATGCAGGAATTGCATTGCTTTAATTATAATAAAAAGATATTCCCTTAGCCACAGGTGTCATATACATGTAGATGATCTATACTGAAAGCTAGGATGGAACAGTCCCGTCTTAAAACTAGCCTATACTTTACTATAAGCATCTTGCAAGCACTTTAAGCTGAAATACATGTTCATTTTATCATTTACTTGCAATTTTCAAGGATTCCTTTAATCATAAACAAACATACACAAAAATATCAAGCATACTGCAGATCTAACGCACACGGCACAGCGTCGTCTGCAACTTGCAAGCTGCATAGCTTGCATAGGTGACTGCACTCTTTACTATCTTTGTTTAAACGTCTAAGTATGTGAAAAAAATTTTTGAATGCTTCGTAATATATAATGATTTTCTATTGATTTGTATGTTTCTTAATTGGCTTACCTGGTCCCCAGGATTATGCAGGAAGAATCTGTTAAACGTTGGCCCTATCTTTACACTGCTCTGTTTACACTAACCATAACAACCAAAATGTCAGCGTTCCGTACTTATGGATCAAATTTATCCGGATTTTTAAAAATAAGAAATTGTAACAAATCAAAGCATTCTAAAATTATGAAATAAACTAAAAAAGATGTTTTTAATTAAATGGTAGCCTTGGTTATCGTCGTCTCCTCTTCAATGAACTGAATATGCGCGGTGGTTTTAACACGGTGACCGTAGTTAAAAAATGTTCTCATTAATATTTCAACCCTTCTGCCACTGTCGCCCGGAATGAAACTTTTAGAAATTATGCATTTTATAATAATCTTTCAATATACCAAATATAGTTCCGGGCGACGATGGCAGAGATATTGAATTTATCTAATATATATGTACAAGGACACTGAAAAATACGAAAAAAGGGTTATCGCCCTTACTTTGATTCATTGTAACTTACGCATGCGCAAAGATAAGTTCATTTGAACATTATTTTTAAATAACCTTCTTGTTAGTCTATAATTTCATAAAGAAGAAATTGTTGAAACTTCAGATTAATTTTTCCTCAAAACGCCGTGCAGAATTATAAAGGAAACCGTATGTCTTAATTAAATATGCCAATGTTTTCAACTGAATCGGAAGGAACTTCTAAGAAGGATGCTTTGATACCATGGTTAACAACACATAACCTTGAATTTGACCTTTAAACATTAATTGAACTACTTTCAAAATAGTTCAAAGTACCAATAAACAGATTTTTTTTTACTCTTAAAGAGGCTGGGTGGTCGTGGCCATTTTTAGACTATTTTGAATTTTGATCTTCTTTAGAAGAAGAGCTCCATATAAAGATATAATAAAATGATCAAATTTTAAAACTAAAATTTATGAATTTTTTCTTTCCCAAATGATAGTTGACAGCTCAAGATATCTTATCTAAAAAAATAAATTATATTTGGTGGTTAATTAAAAAAAATAATCTGTTGACCCCTAGCCTCCTTAAAAGGGCAAGTCTATGCTATTTACCATTGAAAAGTGTTACAAAATATTAGCAAAAGGAATACCGTGTAGCAGGTATTTTAGCAGGGTGCTGAGTTTCACTTAGTTTAGTGGATTTAGAGTGAGCCACTAAAATTTTCATTGCCAGATTTGCACCCTTCATTATCACCACTGAGTATAAGGAATATCACATAAATAACTTAATCTGTTGTATAAGCAATATAACTTTCACCTAGTACATCAGTGGCGGATCCAGGAATTTTGTTACGGGGGGGGGGGGGGGGGGGGAGGGGGGGCAGTAGATTGGCAGAAGGTCAGCTGACAATATCTTACAAATAAGAGTTGTTTTTCCTTTATTTTAGGATAATTGACATTATAAATTTAACATAAAAAAATATCAAACGGGGGGGGGGGGGGGGGGGGCAAGCCCGACACGCCGGCCCTGGATCCGCCTTTGTACATATTTTGTATTTATTCAAACTTTTATATAAGAGGAATTTCTTCTCTTTTACTATGTCATGGAACTCTGTGTATGCCAAAAAAATCTCTGCCAAAATTATTGGCATACCTTTGAGCAAGCAAAATGCCAAGTTTTACGACCGTTAGAGAAACACGCTGAACGGTAGTTTTACAGTTTGCATGACCTTGATCTTTGATATATTTGTGCACAGATTATTTATTGTTTAATAGTTAAGGAAGTCAGTTGAGGCCAGTTCAGAGAAAGAAATATACTTTATTGTGTTTGAACACAAAAAGTATTGCATTTAATCGCAAATATCATTCCATTTATTGCAATTTATTATTAGCCGGGCTTATTGCTCAAAGAGCAATTGCCGGCTTATGTGATCCTGTTCAAGGCAGGATGTTGACCCCATAGTCGCCATTTTAAAGTTACCTGCAAAAATATAGTTCTTACTCTCAACCGCTTTTGAGATAATACAAACGCTAAATAAAGCAACAAAAATAAAACGAAGTTTTATCGATATAAAGTAAACATTAGTAGTTATGACTTTGAAAACTTCATAAGTCAAAGAACATAGTTCATTAGCGTAAGGATTTTTGATAATCAGTGTTACCGTAGTTCTCTACACATACGAGGTAAAGCAGGAGAGGGAACCAGACTGGCCTGTTTGTTTACATTCAGCTGCGGTACCAGATTAATTCTGATTCTGACAAAATCGGACCGTGGTATTAGGATTGAAAAACTCACTGTCACTGTCTTATCATTTACATTGATAGTTTTAAAATAATTTTTTCATCAGAATATAAACGTGATTCATGTAAGAAATCCATTCTACTCTGTAAATGAGCCCGGCTCTCTGTACTTCTGAGTACTTTGATTTTTTCTATTGTTGCCAGCTATCTGATTGGCTCAAACTAGATCACATTATTAAGTATAAAAAGTGTTTTTGACTGGATGTTTCTATTTTAAAAATTTATAAAACTGCTCTTTCTAAAATTTGAAACGTTCTTCCATGAAGCAACAATAGTGCTGAGTACTGCTGATGTCACAATGTAGTCTTTATAAACCAGATGTTTCTAAAAACAGATACTGCAGCTGGTATTCATTTCTGTGGCGTCATAATGCAAATGACATAACTATGCCTTAAATGAGAAGGTACTGAATATTAGAAAGAAGGATTTTAAGACACATTTTATTAACTGATAGAAAAAAAATAATAAAACAATTGTAGGCTTTTGATTCGATACAATCCCTAGATATATAGACCTTAGAGAAAGCATATCGACCTCAAACTTCATGCCCAGTCGATTTGCTTTCTCTAAGGTCTATATATCTAGGGATTGACCTCATCAAAATTGTATCAATCTATAATTGTGTAGTAAATTGCATTTAAATGCTTCACACCATCCCATCCCCAAACCCTGCCAAAATTAGCCCAAAAAAGAAAAAAAACCACACACACAGTTTGACTTCTCTTACATATTGAAACTGCTTTACACCACACACACTTCAGACATCCCATGACCTACAGCTCACCCTAATAGTATCCAATTCATTACTTACCTTACTTCTATTGTAGTTAGTTGACAAGAAGCCAATTTTTTTTATGTACAAGTCTCTCACAGATTGTCCAAGTCGGTATTCTTGATCCATCCCAAGCTGGAAAAACGTAAGGGCTTATCAAAATCTACATTGAGATAATGATGATGGTCTCTGACCAGTAGAGCTAAAAATTGGAGGGTATATAGTGATAGGGATGTCTGTCTGTCTGTCCATTCATCTATACATTCTGTCCATCAGTATGAGCACTGAGCTCACTAAATCTCCCCGCCTCCCATATAATTATAATGACAATGTCCATGTTTTGCCAGGGGAAATCCAAAATATGTGTTCAATCAAAATGTAAAATAGGAGGTCATAATGGCACTATGTAACAAAGATTCTGTGAATGTCTCATTAAATTTCATTCAGTGGAGTTGAGGATAAGAGATGGGTATCCCTAAGCATAACAGATGGACAGCTAGATGGACAGATGGACATAGAGATGGATGGATAGACAGATGAATGTACATAATTATGGACGGACATCCTGATCACTATATACCCTCCAACTTTTCAAGTCGGGGGTATAATAATCACATGATACTTTTGTTAACTGTCCGTATCCTTGTGACCAGTTATATTCTTTAATGGGATCCAAAGGATATCCACGCATGGCACTCCTATCTCCATGTCTGTATACCTACAAAGAATTCATATCTCATTGAGTACAAAGCTAACCAGCCTGTGTATTAAAGTCTAGACCACCAATATTTTAACAAAAAATTATATAAAATCACAAACAAGGGGCGCCTGGGCACATTTGCTAGGAAAAAAGACAGAAATCAATTCAGTAATTGAAAACTTTAAATATGTTGTCCAAAATTATCCCTCCTTAAAAAGAGGTGAAAGGGGGGTGGGGGGTCATGATTTGAAACCAGAAGTCTCTGTAGAGACTGTAGCTCTACTGGTTTGTACTTATAACAGAGGATGAGAAAAGAAGTCATTGCCATCAGACCAAAACTGTAGAAGAATTAGCGTTTTAAATAGTGTTGGCAAATCGGACGGTTTTTAGTAACCGGTTACTCGCTCAATCTTCCGATCGAGTACCCGGTTACTCGCATGATTTATTCATATTCATATATTAATATCATTTATCTCATCCTTTACTCATTACTAATAAAACACAACTATATTGTGAACTTTATTTATAAACTGAAATATACACAGGCACGCACTATATTGAAAGAATTTTGATATTATAATACAAAACATTAATTAAATCATAAGAAGAAAAATAGATATTCAAGTGTACATTGGCGTTCATCACCTTTGACTTTTCGACCCACGATATATGTCACGATTAAGGAGAATAATTATTTTTAAAAATTGTGGTCACAACCTTACAGGATAACTCCAATTCTCATAAATAACATTTTACAGGTATCGAATCAGCTATTCTTTTTAAAATACTTTCAAACTACATGTATATATGTCTTTTGCGGTATCTTGTTAAATTATTTAATAAGGTAATTATAACTCAGGTCTTCAAAACTTGTATAACCTGCTGGCAATCAAAGCTATTCAATAATGAACTGTTAAAACTAATCAAAACAAATTGACCGTATTAGTGAAACACTGGATAATTAAGTCTAACAGTAAAGAAAATTAGAGGAATGTTTAATGTATACGGTTATAAACAAAATAACATTTTATTTTTTTATTTACTATATAAGATGCATTTTTATCCGAGTAACCGAATATCAGTTTTACTAACCGATACTCGCATCATTCGACGGTTAACCGGTTAACCGGGTACTCGTTGCCAACACTAGTTTTAAAGGAATTTCACGGACATTTCTATCTTTAGTAACAAAAGCAACACCGTTCATCAAAATCAAAAACCGATGCACTATTTTACGTATCTTAGTGTAGTCTACTTGTCTGCCAAATTATATTGAAATCAGACCAAAATTGTAGGAGGAGTAGCGTTTTAAAGGAATTTCACAGAAAATTCTATTTTCAGTAACCTTGGCAATACTGTTCATCGAAATCAAAAACCGATGCACTATTCTATGTATCTTAGTGTAGTCTACTTGTGTGCCAAATTATATTGAAATCAGACCAAAACTGTAGAAGGAGTAGCGTTTTAAAGTTATTTCATAGAAAATTCTATTTTAGTAACCATGGCAACGCCGTTCATCGAAATCAAAAACCAATGCACTATTCTATGTATCTTATTGTAGTCTACTTGTGTGCCAAGTAATACTGAAATCAGACCAAAACTGTAGAGGAGTAGCTTTTCAAAGTTATTTCACATAAATTTCTATTTTTAGTAACCATGGCAACACCGTTCATCGAAATCAAAATTCGATGCACTATTTTATGTATCTTAGTGTAGTCTACTTGTGTGCCAAGTAATACTGAAATCAGACCAAAACTGTAGGAGAAGTAGCGTTTTAAAGGAATTTCACAGAAAATTCTATTTTTAGTAACCATGGCAACATTGTTCATCAAAATCAAAAAGCGATGCACCATTCTATGTATCTTAGTGTAGTCTACTTGTCTGCCAAGTAATATTGAAATCAGACCAAAACTGTAGGAGAAGTAGCATTTTAAAGGAATTTCACAGAAATTTCTATTTTTAGTAACCATGGCAACATCGTTCATCGAAATCAAAAACCGATGCACTATTTTATGTATCTTAGTGTTGATTACTTGTTTGCCAATTTATAATAAAATCAGACCACAACTGTAGGAGGAGTAGCATTTTGAAAAATTGTTTACAGACAGACGGACAGACAGACGGATGGACGACGGACACCTTACTATCACATAAGCTCTTCTGGTCTCTGACCAGTAGAGCTAAAAACAAAAACAAACTTGAATCTGCACAAACTGCTTCCATATTTTTTTGACTAACCATGGCTTTTGAAGTTATACAAGATATTTTTTTTTCTTACATGTCTGAACTTCATCCCCAGGGGTAAAAGTTTGAACAAATTGAAATCTACACCACCTGAGGATACCTCTGAATTAATATGAATAATAATGATTTTCGCTGTTTAGACATGATAGGGGAAGCTTCTGGATAATTTTTCCTATATATTCATCATTTGTATATAACTTTGATCACTTGCTGTGGCCCTTTTTTATGGTGGCATATATCTGCCCCATAAATGCAAAATAAATTACGTTAACATGCAAGAAACTTATTCGATTTAAATATGGGTAAAATTATGGGTAAAATCCCTTATTAACATGCAGGATGCAACATAATTATGTAAACATGTTACTTATTTATGTCAACATACAAGTGAATTATGCAGACATGTGACTTATATTTATGTTAGCATTCAACATGTGACATATTTATATGAAAGGTAGTATATGTGTAAATACAAGTTTGTTCACATCATAAACAAGTTGAACGTTCACGTGATCATATCATCAATATATTTTGATTAGTGGCCTTAGTTTTTTCTGGGGATCACTAAAGTGACTGGTTCTGTCGAAAAAAAGAGCTTTAAAGCTTATGTTCTTTGTTGTATGTATATAGTCTGACTATGAATAAAATTTACTTACTTACCAAACTTTCATCTAATTGTCTAATTGTTGTTTTATGCATAAAATTATCACCCAAGCCAATCGATTGATCATCATCAAACCAAAAAAACTGACAGTTATTTATTAATTATGCTCTTGATTCTGCAAATTCACATGCTAGCCCCGCTTAGTCTCTATTTGTCTTACCACCCCATGATTTTTTTTAAACTGTGCCTATCAATGTATGGATCAACCAGCAGATTTATGCAGAAATAAATTATTTTCACTATTAGTAATTTTATTTCAGATGAAGACATTGGAAATGTAAATACTACATTTTGAATTCCCCAATGTCAGCCTAAGCCAGGTCGGATGATACAAACTTAAATCATTATCACTACAACCCCAACCAAAATAAAATCAGTGAAATAGGCTATTTCTTACTATGTGTACGAGACGTAGTGAACGTGTAGAAAGTTCTCCATTTGTTTGATGTCTTGCTTGGAAAAGACAAAGTATAAAAATGGCAGAAACTTCCAGACTAAGAAATGTGGGAAAGTGTTTCATTTCATTTCAAGTTGCTTGTTAAAATATCTTTCTGGAGTTGAATCTTCAACTGAACATCAGCTTATAATTTAAGTGTAATATTATCTATCACAATACATCGTGTTATAAACAACTGTAAACTGATCAATAATAGGCCTACTCTACAGTCACAGTGTCACTACACATCATCATCATGCCATCGTTGAGGTATGTATTAATTAAACCGGAAAATTAAAACTTAGACCCGGAATTTTTACAAAAACATTACAGAAAAAAACTATTTAAAAAATTATAAAGATGGAGTGAATATTTTTTCTTATTTAAAATGACAATGTTCGTAACAGCCTATATTAACATGTTTAACTTTGCTGTGATTACCGCTTGCCGGAAATATGAACGTTTTCATTCAGAAATGTAGGATATATTCTACTTTCTGTTTCACGTAAACAAAATCGTAATCATTCAAACATTTGCAGAAACGATGTCATTGAAGGTATGTCTCAAGAGTTTTAGTCCAATTACTTTCTTAAATAGAGATTTATGAGAACCACAAATGATTAAGTGTATTGTAAGCTAAAGTCATTACTGGGAACAGAAAAACACAACACGTTTTTTTGTAAAGCCTGGCCCTATAATGCTATTTATCTCATACGTGTGGGGGTTACAGCCCATTGGATAAACATGCTTTATGGAAGTTTATCAACGGGTGCTTTATCAATAGCACTTCCGGTTTTGATACGATCCCTCACTTCAAGATTTTATTTTATGGAAACTTTTTAGCTTACCTGAGCCGTAGGCTCAAGTGAGGTTTTCTGATCACATTTTGTCCGTCGTCCGTCCGTCTGTCTGTCTGTCCGTCCGTCCGTCTGTAAACTTTTCACATTTTCGACTTCTTCTGAAGAACCACTGAGCCAATTTTGACCAAACTTGGTACAAAGCATCCTTGGGTAAAGGGGAATTTAAATTGTTAAAATGAAGGGCCAAGTCCCCTCACAAGGGGAGATAATCAAGAAAAGGCAAAAATAGGGTGGGGTCATTAAAAAATTTTCTTCTCAAGAACCACTGGGCCAGAAAAGCTGAAACTTATGTGGAAGCATCCTGAGGTAGTGTAGATTCTAAATTGTTCAAATCATGACCCCTGGGGGTAGGGTGGGGCTACAATGGGGAATCAAATTTTTACATAGAAATATATAGGAAAAATCTTTAAAAATCTTCTTCTCAAGAACCACTGGGCCAGAAAAGCTGAAACTTATGTGGAAGCATCCTGGGGTAGTGTAGATTCTAAATTGTTCAAATCATGACCCCCGGGTTTAGGGCGGGGCCACAATGGGGAAGCAAAGTTTTACATAGAAATATATAGGAAAAATCTTTAAAGATCTTCTTCTCAAGAACCACTGGGCCAGAAAAGCTGAAACTTAGGTGGAAGCATCCTGGGGTAGTGTAGATTCTAAATTGTTCAAATCATGACCCCCAGGGGTAGGGCGGGGCCACAATGGGGAAGCAAAGTTTTACATAGAAATATATAGGAAAAATCTTTAAAAATCTTCTCAAGAACCAGTAGGCCAGAAAAGCTGAAACTTATGTGGAAGCATCCTTGGGTAGTGTAGATTCTAAATTGTTCAAATCATGACCCCCGGGTTTAGGGAGGGGCCACAATGGGGAATCAAAGTTTTACATAGAATTTTATAAGAAAAATCATAAAAAATCTTCTTAAGAACCAGTAGGCCAGAATAGCTGAAACTTATGTGGAGGCATCCTGGGTTAGTGTAGGTTTTAAATTATTCAAATCATGACCCCGGGGTTTTGGGGGGGGGGGGGCACAATAAGGTCTCAAAGTTTTTCATAGAAATATATAGAAAAAATCTTTTAAAAATCTTCTCCTCAAGACCCACTGGGCCAGAAAAGCTGAAACTTATGTGGAAGCTTCCTGGGATAGTGTAGATTTCAAATTGTTCAAATCGTGAACCCTTTGGGTGGGGTGGGGTCACAATTTGTATTACAAGGGGGAAATCTAGGAAAGAACAGCATGGGCAAGGCTTCTCAGGTGAGCGATGTGGCCCATGGGCCTCTTGTTTTGTGAAAATTATTGCCCTTATAAATAAACGGAGCAATACTATCGTTTAAAGCCAGAAGAAGACTCGTATTTGTCAAAGAAATGTCTTATTTTATAAAGGAACCTGTATGGCTACTTAAAGACATGTTTTAATCGTTTTCGGAGATAGTAAAGGCTAGCAATTAAGTTGTTGTTATCAGATTCCTAAAACATTTTCAATAATGCTTTCTCATATTATGCTACGTATGCCTACCTAGTAATGTAGGTGCAACTTACCATGGATCAACAATGAATTATACATGTAACGGGAGAGGAGAAAATGCAGCGGACCAGACCGGGATTCGAACCCAGGCCCCCTGAAATTCCGGTCGGGTGCTCTACCAACTGAGCTATCTGGCCACCGGCGATCGAACCCGGCTCACCGCCACATTCCTCCCTCCTTAAAGGTCTTTGGCCCTCCAAAGACCCCAACCCAGGCTCATCCCTGGCAGGTCTTTCACCTGTCAATTCCAGGGCATGGCACGGCACCAAATGTAATGGGAGAGGAGAAAATGCAGGGGACCAGACCGGGATTCGAACCCAGGCCCCCTGAAACTCCGGTCAGGTGCTCTACCTACTGAGCTATCTGGCCACCGGCGATCGAACCCGGCTGACCGCCACATACACAAGTAGGCCTAGCATTGCCTAGCATGTTTTGTACTGCCACCATACAAAGAGTTAATTTTACAATCCCATGATCTTTACAACTTTCAGTCAGGAGTTCGTTTGATGTAAAGCTCCAGCAATTGTCACATAATGTTTTCATTCAAAGACGCAGATACCAAAAATTCTAAATTTTGAACACGATCTACTTTCTTTCGAAGCATGTCAACATCAACGGTGCTACGTCATCAAGTTATACGTCATCAGTTTGAATTAGCAGTCATTCATGTAGTTTGCAAGGGGAAGTCTAAAAATTTTGTTAAAACGAAAGTCGTATGAGATAAATAGAACATCTATAATTGTTTGATTTGATATTGGCTTTATTCAACTTGTTGAAATGGTGTATATTCGCTCGGCAAGCCTCGCGAAATATATACACACCATTTCAACTCGTTGGATAAAGCCAATATCAAATCACACAATATAGATATCCTCTATATATCTATAGCCCTATACTAAGACCACGGAACATTAACTGTCAAAATTGGAAATATACAGCTTACGTCATTTCTATCTGTTACAATCAAAACATTCAGTGATAGACAACGAAATGGGCGGGTACAATTCGACGCGGACGTTTGGAAAACATCGGATTGAAATTGCAGATCGAAATTCATTTTCAATCCACCTGAGCTGTTTTCAAAGCAAAGAGTGAATGTATGATTCAAAAATCAACTATATTTCAACTCCCAAATACATATTGTTTGAAGTTCACATTAGCATATAATTTTAAGAACGCGAAAGATCATAGAAGACAAAGATTATTTTTCAGGAGATATTTGCAATTGATTTTAGAGGGGGGGGGGGGGGGGGGGAATTGGCGAGTCAGGCCATGGCTTAACATGACAATGTATTTTATTATAAGAGTGCATGAGTTTTATTCTTATTCTCACTGAAAACTGTTGGACAACTTTATTTAAAAATCGTTCACCCCCCCCCCCCCACAACACAAAGATATACATATATTTACCAAACAGAAATGAAATATTTGTCCCTTAAATATTAATTCATTTGAAACACTGGACAAAAAAAAATCGAACTGTACCAAAATTGAAATTATTTGTCTTCTGGGTCAATCAGTAATAATGTGCCTTCTGGCGTAGCTGAGGTGGATTGAAAATGAATTTCGATCTGCAATTTCAATCCGATGTTTTCCAAACGTCCGCGTCGAATTGTACCCGCCCATTTCATTGTCTATCACTGAATGTTTTGATTGTAACAGATAAAAATGACGTAAGCTGTATATTTCCAATTTTGCCAGTTAATGTTCCGCGGTCTTATCTGCATGGCTATACTGCTATATGGGCTCTATACTGAGATCACATACCTACCAAGATTAGTAGATTGAGGCAGCTCCGCCAGCTATACAAAAATATATCTGCGTTGCCAAGATACCCTGTATTAACTATTATCTTTCTCTTATATTATATTACAGTATCCATTCATTGTATTATTTTTTTATTTGACAGATACTGTGTATTCATGGATACAGGTAATACCTCTATTGAACAAATATAGATAAAAAGGTATTATCTTATTGCCAGATTTATGTAGAGCAAAATGAACAGATGATGATAATTTTAAATTTTCTTGTCTAGCTGGCTAATATGTTGATGGTACGATCATTAGGGCAGACACAGATCTATATACTTATTCAGTTTTAATTTTATTAGATGGGGCACCTCAAACTGCACCTGACATTTGGTGTGTCTACACTCTGACGTCACATGACGTCTAATTAAAATTATATAAATCAAAGTGAGTTTATTTTTTGTTGAATTTTTGTTGTTGTTCTGCATTCTGGGCATACTTGCCAACCTCCAGCATGTAAAAATCTGGTCATAACGCGTAATGACATTCACGACATATTTACCATGATTAAATTTTATACATATATATACAAAGTATTTGTGTATTGAGAATTCTTTTATTGAAAAAGGCTTTAATTTACAATGACAAAAAATTCATACATAATTTGATTAATAAATTTACATGTTAAAAAAGAGAATTGAAGGTTTCATACTTCAGCATTAACATATTAATATTAATTATTGACCTGAAGTAAATGTAATTTTTTTTTTTTAAAAAGCCTTTCCAGTTTCTGCTAAATTTGAAAGTATAACAATATCAGTTTTGAAGTTATTTTTCCTCTCTCTTAATTAATTAACTACTGCAATATGTATTAAATGTGAAGTTAGGCCTACACTGTCTTCGATCACATTACAGTGAATTAACCTTCAGATATCTGGATGCCTCAGTATCCGCACGATTTTTCATTGGAACGGAATTTTTTCATGTTATTTTGTCTTGTTAAAATGGTAATTCAGATATCCGGACACTTCACATATCCGGACAAATTTTCTAGGAACCAAAGCGTCTGGATAAATGAGGCTCCACTGTATTAAATTATCTAGAATGATTTTTTTTTTCCAAGGTTCCTTGATATGTACATAAATATTGTTTCTCTTTAAAGTCTTTTTCTTGGTTCAGTCAGAGACATGTGTTTGGTTCAATTTGTTCCTGCTGGTCCTGATAACGATATAGTTCTATCGGAAGGCATTTTAATTGACTTCAAACATTGATTTGTCAAAACAACACCTACACTGATAATTAATCCATCAGCATTGTTTACGTAGATCTAAGCTTGGGTTGTAACTGGAAGTTAAAATTGCAACCCAATTTATGAACCAAATCCGGAAATCGGGAGATTTTCGGGTTGCTCGGCAAAAATCGGGTGAAAAGCACGACCCGCCGAGTCATAAAAAATAATTGGGTTACGGGTTGAAAAATCGGGTGTGACCCGACGAAATCAGGTGATCGAGTTGGCAATTTTGATTCTGGGTCCACAAGTTACTGTGGAAAAAATTTCGTTTGGCTGCGGCCTTGCTGTTCTCACTATAATTGACTCTAATCTTTATACCCTCAATTTTTAAAGAAAGTTCGGGTATATTGTTGTTACTCATGTCCGTCCGTCCATCTGTCCGTCCGTCTGTCACACTTTTCTTCCCTGAACTCCTCTTACATTTTACTCAGCAGCCTAATCATCTTTTGGGAGATGGTTGGTGGTGTCATGTAGATGTGCAGTAACGTTTCGGAATTTTGATTTTGCCCCGGGGGGTCAAATGGGGATCGAAAAATGACGTTTTTTATGCAAAAAGCCCCGTCTTCCCTGAACTCCTCTTACATTTTACTCAGCAGCCTAATCATCTTTTGGGAGATGGTTGGTGGTGTCATGTAGATGTGCAGTAAGGTTTCAGAATTTTGATTTTGCCCCGGGGGGTCAAATGGGGGTCGAAAAATGATGTTTTTTATGCAAAAAGCCCCGTCTTCCCTGAACTCCTTCTTACATTTTACACAGTGGCCTAATCATCTTTTGGGAGATGGTTGGTGGTGTCATGTAGATGTGCAGTAAGGTTTCGGAATTTTGATTTTGCCCCGGGGGGTCAAATGGGGGTCGAAAAATGACATTTTTTATGCAAAAAGCCCCGTCTTCCCTGAACTCCTCTTACATTTTACTCAGCAGCCTAATCATCTTTTGGGAGATGGTTGGTGGTGTCATGTAGATGTGCAGTAAGGTTTCGGAATTTTGATTTTGCCCTGGGGGGTCAAATGGGGGTCGAAAAATGACGTTTTTTATGCAAAAAGCCCCGTCTTCCCTGAACTCCTACTTCATTTTACACAGTGGCCTAATCCTCTTTTGGGAGAGTTCACTCTTTTGAAATTTTGGTAAAACATCAAGGTCAAGGGGTAAAAAATCATAGCATATTGGGAAACATCTTGTTATGGGTAATGTACACGTGAAATGTGAAAGTCGTATCTCTTCTCAATCAAAAGGAAATACAACATTATTGAAAAGTAAGTTAAACTTCAAGGTCAAGGTCACAGAGTCAAAAAGTCATGATACATTTGGAAAGGTCTTATCACAGGTAATATACATGCATGTATAATATGAATGCCCTTTCATTTTTCTTTCAAAATGATCAATTTAAAACAATTAATTTTGTTTTGACAGTAGGTCAAACTTCAAGGTCATGGGTAATAAAAATCATAGTGTATTTAGAATGGTATTGTCCCAGTTAAATACTAATACACACGTTTGATATGAAAGTCCTGTCTCTCCTCATTCAAAATATATGACCATGAAGACCAAGGTTAAATTTATTGTGACAGATGGACAGACTTACAAACAAATGAGATTTAATGTCCCCTACCTTTAGCAAAAATGCGGGACAATAAATGTCCTTGCTGTTCTTGAGAAGAAGATTTATGTTACTGCTGGAAAAAGTCCCCTGCATATTTATATGTCAATTGATTGAAATTGGCCCAGTGGTTCTTAAGAAGTTAAGAATGTGAAAAGTTTGCAGACAAACAGATGGACGACAGAAAACAGTACATTTCAGAAAACAGTATGCTTTTAAATTGGTTAATCAAGGTGCTTTGGGTAGCAAAATAAAGCTAAACAGGTATATCTAATTCATCTGCAGAGCTTAGTCAGTTTTAATATGCACAACCTTTTCAACTCTTATAATAATTATATATTTTAAAAATATTTTATATCACCATGTCTGATTCAAGGGAGAACTAGAGATATGACCAGAAGTAAATCTGTTGAATATGAAATATGTACATGTATACTGTGTTTTTTAGCTCTACTGGTCAGAGACCAGAAGAGCTTATGCGATAGTAATGCGTCCGGCGTCCGTCCGTCCGTCTGTCTGTCTGTCTGTCCGTCTGTCCGTCTGTCTGTAAACAATTTTTCAAAATGCTACTCCTACTACAGTTTTGGTCTAATTTCATTATAACTTAACACACAAGTAGAATACACTAAGATACATAATTCTGTGTATTGCTTTTTGATTTCGATGAACGGTGTTGCCGTGGTTACTAAAAATAGAAATTTCTGTGAAATTCTTTCAAAATGCTACTCCTCCTACAGTTTTGGTCTGATTTCAGTATAACTTGGCACACAAGTAGAATACATTTAGATACATAATTCTGTATATCGGTTTTTGATTTCGATGAACGGTGTTGCCGTGGTTACTAAAAATAGAAATTTCTGTGAAATTCTTTCAAAATGCTACTCCTCCTACAGTTTTGGACTGATTTCAATATAACTTGGCACACAAGTAGACTACACTTAGATACATAATTCTTTGTATTGGTTTTTGATTTCGATGAACGGTGTTGCCGTGGTTACTAAAAAAAGAAATTTCTGTGAAATTCTTTCAAAATGCTACTCCTCCTACAGTTTTGGTCTGATTTCAGTATAACTTAGCACACAAGTAGAATACATTTAGAAACATGTACATAATTCTGTGTATCGGTTTTTGATTTCAATGAAAGGTGTTGTCGTGGTTACTAAAAATAGAAATTTCTGTGAAATTCTTTCAAAATACTACTCCTCCTACAGTTTTGGACTGATTTCAATATAACTTGGCACACAAGTAGACTACACTAAGATACATAATTCTGTGTATGGGTTTTTTATTTGGATGATTGGTGTTGCCGTGGGTACTAAAAATAGAAATTTCTGTGAAATTGTTTCAAAATGCTACTCCTCCTACAGTATTGGTCTGATTTCAGTATAACTTGGCACACAAGAAAAATACACTAAGATACATAATTCTGTATATCGGTTTTTGATTTCGATGAATGGTGTTGCCGTGGTTACTAAAAATAGAAATTTCTGTGAAATTCTTTCAAAATGCCACTCCTCCTACAATTTTGGTCTGATTTCAGTATAACTTGGCACACAAGTAGACTACATGTACACTTAGATACATAATTCTTTATATTGGTTTTTGATTTCAATAAACGGTGTTGCGGTAGTTACTAAAAATAGAAATTTCTGTGAAATTCTTTCAAAATGCTACTCCTCCTACAGTTTTGGTCTGATTTCAGTATAACTTGGCACACAAGTAGACTACACTTAGATACATAATTCTTTTTATCGGTTTTTGATTTCGATGAACGGTGTTGCCATGGTTACTAAAAATAGAAATTTCTGTGAATTCTTTCAAAATGCTACTCCTCCTACAGTTTTGGACTGATTTCAATATAACTTGGCACACAAGTAGACTACACTTAGATACATAATTCTTTGTATCGGTTTTTGATTTGGATAAACGGTGTTGCCGTGGTTACTAAAAATAGAAATTTCTGTGAAATTCTTTCAAAATGCTACTCCTCCTACAGTTTTGGTCTGATTTCAGTATAATTTGGCACACAAGTAGACTACACTTAGATACATAATTCTTTATATCGGTTTTTGATTTCGATGAACGGTGTTGCCATGGTTACTAAGAATAGAAATTTCTGTGAATTCTTTCAAAATGCTACTCCTCCTACAGTTTTGGACTGATTTCAATATAACTTGGCACACAAGTAGACTACACTTAGATACATAATTCTTTATATCGGTTTTTGATTTGGATAAACGGTGTTGCCGTGGTTACTAAAAATAGAAATTTCTGTGAAATTCTTTCAAAATGCTACTCCTCCTACAGTTTTGGTCTGATTTCAGTATAACTTGGCACACAAGTAGAATACACTTAGATACATAGTTCTGTGTATCGGTTTTTGATTTCGATGAACAGTGTAGCTGTGGTTACTAAAAATAGAAATATCTGTAAAATTGTTTCAAAATGCTACTCCTTCTACAGTTTTGGTCTGATTTCAGTATAACTTGGCACACAAGTAGAATACATTTAGATACATAATTCTGTATATCGGTTTTTGATTTCGATGAACGGTGTTGCTGTGGTTACTAAAAATAGAAATTTCTGTGAAATTCTTTCAAAATGCTACTCCTCCTACAGTTTTGGACTGATTTCAGTATAACTTGGCACACAAGTAGAATACACTAAGATACATAATTCTTTGTATCGGTTTTTGATTTCGATGAACGGTGTTGCCGTGGTTACTAAAAATAGAAATTTCTGTGAAATTCTTTCAAAATGCTACTCCTCCTACAGTTTTGGTCTGATTTCAGTATAACTTAGCACACAAGTAGAATACATTTAGAAACATGTACATAATTCTGTGTATCGGTTTTTGATTTCAATGAAAGGTGTTGCCGTGGTTACTAAAAATAGAAATTTCTGTGAAATTCTTTCAAAATACTACTCCTCCTACAGTTTTGGACTGATTTCAATATAACTTGGCACACAAGTAGACTACACTAAGATACATAATTCTGTGTATGGGTTTTTTATTTGGATGATTGGTGTTGCCGTGGGTACTAAAAATAGAAATTTCTGTGAAATTGTTTCAAAATGCTACTCCTCCTACAGTATTGGTCTGATTTCAGTATAACTTGGCACACAAGAAAAATACACTAAGATACATAATTCTGTGTATCAGTTTTTGATTTCGATGAACGGTGTTGCTGTGGTTACTAAAAATAGAAATTTCTGTGAAATTCTTTCAAAATGCCACTCCTCCTACAATTTTGGTCTGATTTCAGTATAACTTGGCACACAAGTAGACTACATGTACACTTAGATACATAATTCTTTATATTGGTTTTTGATTTCAATAAACGGTGTTGCGGTAGTTACTAAAAATAGAAATTTCTGTGAAATTCTTTCAAAATGCTACTCCTCCTACAGTTTTGGTCTGATTTCAGTATAACTTGGCACACAAGTAGACTACACTTAGATACATAATTCTTTGTATCGGTTTTTGATTTCGATGAACGGTGTTGCCATGGTTACTAAAAATAGAAATTTCTGTGAATTCTTTCAAAATGCTACTCCTCCTACAGTTTTGGACTGATTTCAATATAACTTGGCACACAAGTAGACTACACTTAGATACATAATTCTTTGTATCGGTTTTTGATTTGGATAAACGGTGTTGCCATGGTTACTAAAAATAGAAATTTCTGTGAAATTCTTTCAAAATGCTACTCCTCCTACAGTTTTGGTCTGATTTCAGTATAACTTGGCACACAAGTAGACTACACTTAGATACATAATTCTTTATATCGGTTTTTGATTTGGATAAACGGTGTTGCCATGGTTACTAAAAATAGAAATTTCTGTGAAATTCTTTCAAAATGCTACTCCTCCTACAGTTTTGGTCTGATTTCAGTATAACTTGGCACACAAGTAGACTACACTTAGATACATAATTCTGTGTATCGGTTTTTGATTTCGATGAACGGTGTAGCTGTGGTTACTAAAAATAGAAATATCTGTAAAATTGTTTCAAAATGCTACTCCTTCTACAGTTTTGGTCTGATTTCAATATAACTTGGCACACAAGTAGAATAAACTAAGAACATAAAGAGACTTTATCAACGATCATTATTCTATTGATTGCTGTTGTAAAGTTTCAAATCCTAGCTGCTTTATAAGTACTTTTCACTTCCTTTGCTATAAGTTCAAACCAGTAGAGCTTCAGTCTTGACAGAGACTTCTGGTTTAGTAATTTGTTTGTTTGTTGTGACGGCAGCTTTTGGCAAAGGTTGAAGTTTCTCAAATGTAAGTCAAACTCCAAGGTCAAGGTCAAAGGGTCAAAATTGTTCGTATCAAAGGGAAAGTCTTGTCACAAGGAATACACATGTGAAATAAGAGAGAAATCCCTAGTACTTCCTCACCTGTTCAAAAGTTATTGCCAAGGTTAAAGTTAAATTGGGTTCAACTCTAGGGTCAAGGTCAAAAATATTTATACCTGTTGAAAATATGATTTCTTTCGTTTGAGGAACGAATTAGACAGAAATCAATTTCTACTTGGTGTGATAATGAATTACTTTTTCGGAATTACAAGGTTTTCATTCGAATACCTGGTGTATATCACGTGGTTCTTTAGAACCGGTCTCGTTAGCAAGGCTATATAAGCGGTGAATAGTGGTTTAAATACCAGTTTAGGACGACACGTAGAGCACGATAAAGTTTAAATTTCAGATGTAGAACGAAGGGCGTGGTTCATCGACATGTTAAGCCATTGTAGATGATATGAAATCACAGAAAATAGAGTTGGAGAGAGATTTGACAGTGTGGAAAACGAGGTCATCAAAGAAAAGCCATCTTAGATCTTGTTTTTATAAGATAAGTATTCATTTGAGAATACAATTGATCAGTTTTTGAATAAGTAATAAATTAGTGATAACAAGGTTTGTAATAGAGAGAATTTGAAAACAAATACATGATTGTATTAAATTATGAGATTCGTTAATTCTAGTCAGTATATGATAATAGAAGTTATTTCCAGAAATAGATAATTTGTTTTGTAGAAAGATGGATTTGTTAAAGGAAGAAAACTGGTGTTTCTGAAAAGCAAATCAAATACGTTACGTTAATTTATCTTATTTTTCAATTAATACAAATATAGAATTTATAAGATATTATATTTGCACTTATATCCAATTAAATATATTTGCTTATCATTTTAAAACGTACTAAATGCATCAGCATTATAACTTGGACATTTCCTGAGTATAGAAAATATCGATAAATTAAAATTGTTTGAATTTATTTTTCAATTTCAGTTTCTTGCCATTTTGTCAAATGTGCTACTAAAATGAAAAGTTTTAGATATGTTGAAGAGAAAACAGTATACCCGGTATTCTTATGTTTCAGGTGGTTACATGTTGGGGTTGGTATCACGATGAGTATAATGAAGAAGGTGATTTTAAGATCTCCAGAGAAGTACGGTAGATTTTTTCTTTGCGTGTTATGCCAATTGAAAGTTAAATTCAATGCGGACTCCATCACAATGGAAAAGAGAAGCATTTCATATTCTGAACTTTGAGTATAATAATTCGTTTTTCGATTTATTTTAGAAGATCATTCAATCATGAATCCTTATAGTAGAGTATGGGGCATAGATAATTTTTGTTTGGTATTTTTTTAACCAAGTATATGTATTAATGACATATAAATTTTATAGAAGAAAACGAGTTCTACTTGTCTTATGATTAATGCAGGACAGGTACGGCTTTGCCAAAAAGAATTAAAGGTTTAGAATATTTGCATTTTGATTTTCATTGTAGTTAAACTAAGATCTCATTTGAATTATCTACTTAGAATTGAAATTTATCAATTGAGTATTAATTAAAAAAAAAAAAAAAAAAAGATCAAGATGGTATAAAATATTTATAGGAATGATAATTCTGCAGTATTTGCAGTGTTGTTAATTGGCTTGATTGAGTTATCTAGAAAAAGAGATCTAAGTATTTAGTTTCAATTCTAAAAAGTTTTGATAACAGAAACTGAATTTTTGTCGGTTTTGATTTTCGAGTAAAAAGGAAATTTTGTCAATGAATTCTAATTTTAAAAATGATTCACCAAATTGAATTAATTTTTTTTTTCTGAATATTAATTTCATGAGCTGTTTTGCACAATTTTCATGTTTGGTAGTGTTTGGAAGATTTGAATTTTGATAACGTTGATATATTTCATTTTATAATGAAATGATTTAATGAATGTTTCTTAATTGGCAACAATTTTTGGAGTATTTACTTGAAATTAGTTTTCAGTGGAAAGTGATTTTTATAATACTGTAGCTATTTAAAAGCTGTTATTTTTTAATTTAAAACAAAAATAGAATTTGAGGGGAATTCCAACTCTAACCCAGCTTAGCATAAAATATTTTATTGATGTTTATCATAACGCATCTGTGGTGTTTGGTTTTTGGCGGGATTGATTTCAGTAGACAATGAGAAGTACAAAAATAGTCAAATGAAAATTAATATTTCTGTTTGAAATAATATTGAGTTGGGTTTGAATTTGAATAACTTTGGCACAATTTAGCATATCATGCTTTTATGAATGTTTTCCAACCACATATATGGCATTGTCATTTGGCAATTTATTAAAGATTGTTTTCATTATATTGCTGATACTATGAAATAGAAATTGATTGGATTCGAATGCTTTGCACATTTTATCATAAAATGATGTTATATTATAGATGTTTATCCAACTACATTTGTGGTGTTGCCATTTGGCGAGTTGGTTAAAGTAGAAAGTGGGTTCTTTATCATACGAGTTTGAATTTATGGATGTTTGTCCAACCACATATGTGATGAAGCCATTTAGTAAGACTGGTTTCTGTAGAAAGTGTTTCTTGGTATATATTAAAGTAAAAGTTTATAATTTTCATGAAATCAAAGAAAATTTGATTAAATCTTGAAGTATTTTGATAAATTTTTCACATAGTATGAATTTATGGATGTTTTTTGAACCGTATTGTGGTGATGCCATTTGGCGAGTTGGTTAAAGTAGAAAGTATTTCTACATATAAAGTACAGTAAAAGTTGATAATTCTGATGAAAATAAAGTAAAATTTAATTGGAATTTGAACTTTTTGATAAATTATATCATAAAATGAATGTATGGATTTGTATCCAACCACATTTGTGGTGATGCCATTTGGCGAGATTTGTTTATGTAGAAAGTTTTTCTGCATAAGTAGTAAAGTAAAGGTTGATAATTCTGATGAAAATAAAGTAAAATTTGATTGGAATTTGAACTTTTTGATAAATTATATCATAAAATGAATGTATGGATTTGTATCCAACCACATTTGTGGTGATGCCATTTGGCGAGATTTGTTTGTGTAGAAAGTATTTCTACATAAGTAGTAAAAGTAAAGGTTGATAATTCTGATGAAAATAAAGTAAAATTTGATTGGAATTTGAACATTTGATAAATTATATCATAAAATGATTTTATGGATGTTTATCCAACCACATTTGTTTTGATGTCATTTCGTGAGATTGTTTTCAGTAGGAAGTATTTCTACAAATAGTAAAGTAAATGTTGATTATTCTGATGAAAATAAGGTTATCATAACTTGATTATCAAATGGATGTTTATACAAACTCATTCATATTTTTCTTAATTTAAAAAAAAAAAAAAATGATTAGTGCAATTCATAAATTTTGAACTTAATGGTGGAATTTGATTCATTTTATCATTTAATGATAGTATGCATGTTTTGCTAGCCACAATGATGATGACTTTGATTTTTTTATATAGATTAAGAGAGAGAGAAAAAGAGATTCTATACATATTTACTAAAATATCAGAGTTACAAGATATATGTATCTATCAGTTTTCTAACATCAAATTTGTTCTTTCAGGTATTATTGGTTATATTCTTCTTACGATTAATTCAAGCACCATGATGTATTAATCGGTGTACCAATAATGACAGAGTTTCAAAGAGGCACATATCCAAGGAATTGAGATGGGATTCAAGATATTTCACAGGAATGTGTATTTTGTGCTATTTTGATATTGGATGATGAATATACTTCTATGTATAACTGTGTCGAATTCATTTGATATATTTGAAGCCTTCTTCCCTGGGACTTCACGATAAATCGTATGGTATGCGTTGAATTTGACTTGAAACTATACTCAAAACTCAAGTGCAGCAAGCATTTATCGATGTATGGATAGGATGTGTGCATAACATCAAGACTTTTACAATCAGACTCACATGGTGAATTGCATTATGGATTTTCAAAAGACGGCGGTGTATTGAATTTTTTTTTTCGGATGGATATACATGTATTGATATTTTCCCGCGTTTCGCTAGTATAGCGGGAAAATGTTGTATTAATGACAAGATGTTTATAATACGCATGTTGTGTGGATTGTTCAGAGAGTGACCAATAGAAATTGATTTTGACGTGTAGTAGAGAACTGGTTTTTAAAGGTTGGTCACTTCTAGCCGCCGACTTAAGCGAGCAACAGCTAAATTTTTTAAATTATGTATAAAGGGTATAATGAATATATTTATAAACATATATTTGATTTTTTTTTTTCTTAGGGTTTTATTGGTAGGTTGTGAGGTCCGTCGCAACATTTTTTGCATCCAGCGGCACTTGGCAACGGACACAGGTTTCTAGAGTTTTTTAAAAATTATTTTTATCTCTAGTTTTTCCTGGCCGGCCCTGATGCTTTTCATGTTTATCACAAAGGATATTTTAGAATTATAATAGATGCAGCAGTTTTGGGGGATTTTGATGTTTTTATTTCTCATACACAATGTTCTGTGTTATATATATGTATATTGATGTACTGTTAATAAAATACGGCGTCCAGCGCACGCACGGCTGGCTGTCATGCATAGAATGTTGTTGTTTGTTTGTATAAAAGTAATGGAGTGAATACATGTATTTTTTTTGGGGGGGGGGGGGGTGATTACTTAATTGTTTTCAAAACATTTTATTGGAAAATTTCTGTAAAATTTTATGTATTTATTGTTTAAAATATTGAATGACTTATGATTTAAATGAATTTTGTTGGATTGAATTTAAAATCAATGATTTTATACTTTCATTTTCCCGTTCTTTGTATTTAGAGCTACTGCGTGTCGTTGCTTTGTCCAAATGGTGTGTTTGTTGTTTATTGTACTTTCATTTGAAAGTAATGAATGGATTTAGAGTAGAAATATGATTTCTTTCGTTTGAGGAACGAATTAGACAGAAATCAATTTCTACTTGGTGTGATAATGAATTACTTTTTCGGAATTACAAGGTTTTCATTCGAATACCTGGTGTATATCACGTGGTTCTTTAGAACCGGTCTCGTTAGCAAGGCTATATAAGCGGTGAATAGTGGTTTAAATACCAGTTTAGGACGACACGTAGAGCACGATAAAGTTTAAATTTTATCATGATTTATTCAATCCAACATAAACTTGTATATACAAATTGATTTTCATATTTTGCATATGTTATGTACACTGCACAAATAAAGCTACTGCGTGTCGTTGCTATGTCCAAATGGTGTGTTTGTTGTTTATTGTACTTTCATTTGAAAGTAATGAATGGATTTAGAGTAGAAGTTCACAATGATTACACATGTTAAGCATGAAAGTCCTAGCACCGACTGTTCAAAACTTAGGCCAAGTTTAAGGTATTTTTCTTGTAAAAGTGGGTCAAACTCCAAGGTCAAGAGATCAAGAGGTCAAAATTGGTGGTACCCATTAAAAGGTTTTGTCAAAAGAAATTTACCTATGAAATGTGGAAGCCATGTGTTTAGCCCAATCCACTTAAAACTTATGGGCAAGGTTAAAGTTTCTGTGGACAAACAAACAGACATAAACACAGGAAACAAAATATGTATATATAGTCAAATGGAAAAAAAAATTCTACTATTATGGAGTCATAAGATCAATTGTCATTTCAGGTACAGGGAGTGGCTAGGGAGATCAGACCCCCCCCCCCCGGAATTTGCAGAGTTATTTAGATAAGACTATTTACTGAAGAGAATAAAAATGACTTTGGACATCCTCCCCCTTAGAAAACATGGACACTACATCATTGTTTTTATTTTTTTATTTATTTCTCAGGAAATCTTGGGCTGGATTTTTTTTGACTGAGGTGTGACCCCCCCCCCCCCACTTTCTGAAAAAAAATTCTGGATCTGCGCCTCTATATACTGAATGTCACGTCGGCAATGGGAGATGACTTGACAATGTGAAATTTGTCGACTGTGGCATGCGATGATTTTTGACCCTTTTTGAACTTCAACCTAATCATTTGCATTTATTTATTTTTATGCAATCTATACTAAATCTTGTACTGACCGAATGTCATACTAGTAGGTCTTTTCAACTTCATGAAATATAATCCATATAATCCAATTAAAACACAAATGATTTTAATTAACTGACCACACTGCACCATCAGCATACATGTGCTAAATAATCTCATTCGGCAAACCTTTGCTGATTCCGTCGCCTTCATTAGATGAAGTATGAATCGGCCGAGGTGTGCAGAGTGGTGATATCTAAAAATATGATAATGGGTGACGCAAACCCAATGTGAATGTAGAAATTTTCAATAAGACGTTCAAACGTAAAACTGTTTAGTACAAGAACAAATTTCAAACTATCATAATAAACGATGTTTTAACATAACTTTGCCATTTAAGTCTATTTTAAAAAATGTGTGAGAGTGTGTGTGTGTGTGTTGGTGGGAGGGGGGATAGGCATTGACAAATTAATTGAGTTGTATTTTCAATGGGTTTTTTTCCCTGACCAAATACTAAAAACAGTTTGCACATTTTGATAAATTCATCAAAAACACTTTGTACTAAAATAATATTTTATGTCGTTGAGAAAGTAAATTTAAAAAGTTCCAAATTATGGGCAAAGTATTTATCAGCATCTAATTAAGTAATTTACTTCATTAATTAAATTCTGTTATTTCAGACTGGTAATGAATTAAGTATACAAAATACATATATGAGGCTCATAGATCACATGGTCACCTGAAAATTTTATGCTCAATTTGACGAATACATGTTCGGTGATAATTATAGAATTATTTTGACTTTTTTCTATGGAACGCCATCACTGCCTTATAGCATAAAACTATGCAGTCATTATGTCAGTCTATCATTACGTGATGTGAACATATCTTTACGTTATATCATTTTTTAATGGGGTGATGTAAAAATATCTTTACATCATGTCAATGCTGCATTATATGAAGTAAACACATTCTTCCATTATGTCAGCACTTTATAAGTTGAAGTGGGAAGTTCATTATGTGAAGTGAAAATACGTTTACATTGTGTTAAAACTTTATTACGTGAAATGAATGTTTCTTTATATTATTTCATTTCTTTAATATGTTAGGTCAAAATTGCATTACGTCAAGTTACTTTCGTTTAACATGTGTTCTATGATTAAATTTATCAGTACGTTAAGTCAAAGTCCATTCCCTTTTGTGATTATATATTTCTATTATAACAAAGCATTATTACGTGATATGAATGTATCTTTATTTTTACGCTGAGGTCATAATGATGTAAGTTGAATACATCTTACCTTTATGTCAGTGCTTTATTACGTGATGTAAAAAGGTTTTTAACATAATGTGAACATATATTATGGAGACAGTCCCTGCGTTCCATACTATATCAACACTTTATTACATTATGTCAAAACTCCATTCCTTTATGTGGATATTTAATAAGAATATGTTAACTCTTTCTTATGTGATTTAAAATTATCTTTACATTGTATTAACTCTTTATCATGTTGATTACAAATGTTTATTACGTGCTGTAAAATACATTTACATTATGCCAAAATTGATAACCGTGTTTTCACGACTAGGAAGGGGGGGGGGGGGGTCCTGATTAATTAGCACAGACACATTATATATGGGGGGGGGGTCTGGCTTCCTCTTTTTTCCAGACATAAATTTATCATAGAAAATTTTCATTGAAATTCCGCACCCACTTTTTATTGAAGTATAAGGGTATTGTAGTATATTTGGAAAAAATTTTTTAGGACTCATCGAAGTTGGACCCCCCCCCCCCCCCTTTCACCCGAAATAGGATTTTCAAATTTGGACAAATTATTTTTATTATTATAATTTTTTTTTTGCTTTTTCTTGTACGTTATTTTTTATGGCTGACAACCCTCCCCCAACTTTCAAAAACGATGCAACGTCACTGGAATTAGTCATTTTCCAACCATTCCAGGACCAGAATTCTGTTACAAAAATCTACCAGTCCCTCACTTAAATCAATTGACCATGCCTCAGTAAACATGGGCACATATCAGTGGCGAACTTGGGTTCTTGAAAAGAGTAGCTGTAGGGGGACGGGTGTCTTCTAGCTATTCCCACTTTTTAAAAATCTCAATTCCACCTATTCCCACTTGCAAATAACAATAGATGTTTAGATTTACCTGTATTTAAATTTGTACATTTTAAGACAGAAAATAATGAATACATCTATGAGAAAATATGATTTATTTCAGATTTTTAAAATGATAAAAAGATCTTGCAAGAAAAAGCAACTTAATACCTAAATTTAAGAACATAGTTGATTTTTTGTTTACACAAAATTCCACCTATTCCCACATAAAATCTTACCTTTTTCTACATGATTTTCAAAAAGTGGGAATAGATAGAATGAACAGGGGGACGGTATGGTGTCTAAGTTGGGGACCAGAGGGTGAAAGCCTGGAAGCTCTCAGGCTTTAGATTTTTTATATATATATAAAACGTTTTCAATTTATTTCAGTTATACTTTATGTGAAACTAATGCAACGTCCTACAAAGTAAAACCAATTGATTAATTTCATGCATATTTTGGTCACTAAAGATGGGAGGGCGGGATCCCCCCTCTCCCCACCCACCCACCAATGCACGTATGCAATACGATGTATTTACACTTTTTAAAAAGACTGATAAAAAGCTTAGGACAGTGTTTTGTAGTTAGATCAGAAGTTTCGGACTTTTCAAAACAATTCAAAATAAAAAGAAAAATATTGCTGCATGACACATACTATATTGTTTTGCGATAATTATGAGATTAATTAAACGGCCATTGAATATTTCGACGTTAAAAAAAACCAATCGTCAATAAAGATTCCACGGGAACATAATCCTATTTATAAGTTTTAACCTGATATTTAGTTAAGGATTAATTAAGTCTTGTGTATAATTTAATATTTGATATGTTTAATTTGGGTGTTGCTAAAATGCGGAACGGAAAACGGAACGGAAAGCGGAACGGAACGGAAAACGGAAAATTTTAGTCAAACAATTAACATAAATTCTATATAAATCAGATAAAAGAGCAATATTCTTGGTGTAAAATTCATTTCTTATAAAAATTTATTGTAAACTGTTATGTATTCATGAGTCATACACACCCTCCATTCAGAACTGGTGTACAAGCGATGCCCCCCCCCCCCCTCTCAACAGGAAGAAATTCGACCCCCCCCTCCAACTCACACACAAAATAGGAATTTTGTGTTTCGGCAAAGGAAATATACCCCCGGTTTTTTTTTGTGTTTTTTTTTCATGTCAAATTTGTTGTATGTTGGAAATTTCTTACTGACCCCCCCCCCCCATTTCAATTTGTTTCAAATGCCAATGTCTGTAAAGACAAAAATAACTGGTTATGATATTCAGATTATGCACGCAGTGTCGAATTCGCGAATCATGAAATGGGGAGTGACAGTTTCGGGTCTGGGTAGGGGCCCACAGCCACATTTAAAATTGATTTATTAAATCTTATGTATATTTAGGACACAAAAAAGGGGGTAGACCTATTACCATCCTCACAATGTCAAGGGTTTGTGATTTCTCGAACTCCCGAGTTCGAGAAATCACAAACCCTTGTCATTGTGAGGATGACCTACTACAACTTCTCAGACCTTTCCGATGAGCGGGAAAACAAACTCATTTTTTTCGCGGTCACTCATATACCCTCCCCCCTTCCCAACACACACACATATGTACCGCAAACAAACAAAATTTAACTTCATTGAATGCAAAGATTCTGCATTATATCTACCACATGAAAGTTTTCCAACTTTGTCTATCCAGATTGAATTTATATATATAGAAAGCGACTCTTTTGAATAACATTTTTAACAATCAGTGTATATATAAGAGATGTTAATTCGAGCTTGCCGTAAAGGTTTGCCCTACACGTAATATCTTAATATATTTTTTAAATTTTATTCCTCTTTCCATGGTCAATCTAGATATCAAATATTTACTCCCCCAGTCATAACCTTTTTACTACGGAAATGTTCGTTCAAGTTGACATCCTCACACTTTTTGTGATTGTAATTAATGTAGTAAATTAGTGTAAAAAATAGTTCTGAAAGATGTTGGAGTTGGAACTTATCCCCCCTCCTGAATCAAACAATTGTCTTCTCTTTTTGTTTTTGCTTGTCAAATACTTTTCAAGTTCGTTTACCCACCCCCACCCCTTTTTCAAATTCGATTCTAGGTGACTGCTGTGTTAGCGATTTTCATAAATAAGAGACTTATCATGACAAAATCAACTTGTATTTAATAGTGGGGGATTGAATATGTACAAGATATATCGTTTATGATAAAATTTGTGTATTTTAAGTGATTTAATCCAAAAAATATATTCCGTTTTCCGTTCCGTTCCGCTTTCCGTTCCGTTTTCCGTTCCGCGTTTTAGCAACACTCGTTTAATTTAAATCATTTGCATGTTTAACATATGTGCGTGTAATATTGAAAACACAAAACGAACTTTTAGGCATAACGTAAACCTTACGTCACACAATAAAGAGTTGAAATATTCTAAGATATACTAACAAGAGGCTAAGCATTTTAGACACAATGTAAAGATACAATGGCATAACATAATAATGATTTGTCAAAAAGTAAGGGAAAATTGACATCATGTAATAGATTCCCGTTGTCATGTAGCATATTGATGTCACAATGTAGTAAAGAATTGGCCACATGTGACAATTCTTTTCACATCATGTAATGAAATTCTGACATCGTGTTATAGCGACTTGATATTGAATTAAAGATAAATTCACATCATGTAATGATCTACTTAGACCAAATAGTAGAGAGTGCACATAATGTAATAATGAGTTCAAATTATATAAAAACGTCTTTACACCACGTAAAATTGTTTTGACTTAATGTCATAAAGAGTTGACATAATGTAATGGAAAGTTGACATAATGCAATAGTAGTGTGTGTAAATGTCATAAAGAGTTGACATAATGTAATGGAAAGTTGACATAATGCAATAGTAGTGTGTGTAAATGTCATTAAGAGTTGACATAATGTAATGGAAAGTTGACATAACGCAGTAGTAGTGTGTGTAAATGTCATAAAGAGTTGACATAATGTGATGGTAAGTTGACATAACGCAATAGTAGTGTGTGTAAATGTAATAAAGGGTTGTCATAATGTAATGGAAAGTTGACTCAATGCAATTGTAGTGTTCTGCTATGAGGCAGTGATGGCGTTCCATATTTTTCCTTGGAAAGCCCAATATTAAGGAGTGTGTATTTAGAGGCAAACACCTTAGTAGTGCGGGGTATTACTGTCTCATGACAGCATCTAGTTATATCTGTAGACAGACTTTTCGACCCAACACCTTCTCCTGTAACACCTTACACAGCCCTGACTTGTCAGCCTAGGATTATTGATACCTCAACCCATATAAAAGATGCTAACCCTTGCAAAATTTTTATGACAAACTTGTCTGTCCATGAATTTTTATAAACAAATGTACATGAAGGCATGTACAAATTTTTTTTCAGTGAAAATACTTTGAAAATAAAAAAAAACATCTATCAACAATTTTAAAATACTTATTTTAAGTCTTATGCTTTGGGAATGAGCACTCCTGCCATATAAGCTTTTTGCTAAGTTGCCTCATATGAGCTGATCTGTCTCCAAGGCAGAGGTGACATTGGTTCAATAGTACTAAATGTACATTGTATATAGGGCCAAGGTTCCCGGCATTCATGTGTATCAGATGATGGATAAATTCTTGTGCAAATAAAGTAATTAAAGCATTTAGTGTCAGCTCTGTATATACAATAATGTACGATATTATAAGAAATGCATTTAAAGCTCTTAAACTGACTCTCATGGAGTAAAATATTGCAAAGATTGTCCCAATAGACACAAATTATTCTAACTATAGAAATTAATTAATTCAATGTACATGTTTTATAGCTAGAAATTGTATTTTTTAATATGATACATGATACATGTACAAACTTTTAAAAAAAATCTTGAAGCTTTATTAAGTCATATATGTTTATCATGTTTATAGAAGTATAAATTATTTAAATTAAATTTTCATTCTAACAAAAAATTTGTATATAATCAATCAATGAGGATGCATGGTGGCTGGGAGATAAAATTTTGAACATTGAAAAGATCGAGATTAAGATTTCTTTATATTTTAGAAATTTATCACTTACAACAAAAATAGGTCCAAAACATACTGTAAAATCACATATTTTCATGGGGTCAAATTATCAAGGTTTTAGGAAAAAACATTGGTTTGTGGGGATTTGATTTTAATTTATGGTTGGAAAATGTTTAGTAGTAATGCCTTTGAAATTTTACATTTCATGATGGTCATAAATTTGTGGGTCTCTCCATACCTCAAAAACAACAAAAAATTAAACTCTCATGAAAGAACTATATGCGGTATATTGCATATGTTTGCCCCCACAAAAGTCAAATTTTGAAAACTTCCTGAAATGTGCTGAATTCAATAAACTGTACGAGAAATATAAGTTAACAGAAAATATTATAGTTCCAGAGCAGTGTATTCACAATTTCTGTTTTTATGACGTCACAAACTAGTCCGATTTTATATCCTTTTTCAGAAAGAGGACAAAATGGACAAAATTTCAACAATTTAAGCTTTAGAATTTATAGAGCGCATGTGTGTTCAGGAACAATATTGACATATTTCATTGATATTATCATTCTACACATTATATCAAAATATTAATCCTGAACACACATGCGCTCGGTGACTTTTATTTAAAATATCGACGAAATATGTACATTTTTCTGCAAAATTCATTAAAAAACTGAAATTTACGTCATATTTGTGACGTCATTACGTACATATGACGTCATTACTTATGAAATTATTCAGTGCTTTGAAGTCAGCATATACTCCCCTGTTTAAGGACTTAATTAAATATTACTCCATCAAAGTTTGATTTTGGGGGGCAAATGTTGGTTAATACCGCATATAGTTCTTTATAGTGATTTCACAGTATGCCAATTCAGACGACCATTATTTGTATCTTCTATCCTAAAGTGTTTGAAGACTTATTCTATCTATTTGTTTTTTTTTAGACAGAATGACCAAACATTCAGAGAACGGACAGGTGCATTTAGAAAAATTATAAAGAAATTTTCAGATCCAGGTAAAAAAAATATGGATATTTGTATTATGCAAAAGAAAGAAAATATAGGATGATCAGGAATCATTAAATAATCAAGTACTTAAAGTAACAAATCATAAAGTAGAGTATTAAACCTCTAATGTTATTATATATATCATCATCTATCAGTTTATGCCCCCCTTCAAAGACGGGAGCTAGGGCATATTGCTTTGCTGCTGTCTGTTGGTCTGTCTGTGGGTATACACCATCAGTTTCCATTCATTTTCACATTGCACATATTGAAATGAAATTTGGTACACAGATTTTTATGTCCCCCTTTGAAGAAGGGAGAGCATATTGCTTTGCTGCTGTCTGTCGGTCAGTCCGTCTGTCGGTCCACTTAGTTTCCATTCATTTTCTTCGCAACCATTGCACATACTGAAATGAAATTTGGTATACAGATATATCAGATGTATATCTAGGTCAAGTTCTGTTTTGGGTATGATCGCACCATTTTTGACAGAGTTATGCCCCTTGGACTTAGAAAAATTCCAATTATTTGCAGTTTCCGTTCATTTTCTTGGCAGCAGTTGCACATACTGAAATTAAATTTGGTATACAGATATATCAGATGAATACATAGGTCAAGTTCTGTTTTGGGTACGATTGCGCCATTTTTGACAGAGTAATGCACCTTGAACTTAGAAAAATTTCAATTATTTGCAGTTACCGTTCATATTCTTGGCAATTGTTGTACATACTGAAATTAAATTTGGTATACAGATATATCAGATGAATATCTAGGTCAAGTTCTGTTTTGGGTACGATTGCACCATTTTTGACAGAGTTATGCTCCTTAGACTGAGAAAAATTCCAATTTTTTGCAGTTTCCGTTCATTTTCTTCGCAACTGTTGCACTTACTGAAATTAAATTCAGTGTACAGATTTATCAGATGAATATCTAGGTCAAGTTCTGTTTTGGGTACAATTGCGCCATTTTTGCCCTTTTGGACTTGGGAAAATTCCAATTTGGGGGGAGGAGGGCATAAGTTTTTTACGAACATCTCTTGTTTTCAGCTCACCTGAGCCAAAGGCTCAAGTGAGCTTTTCTGATCAAAATTTGTCCATTGTCTGTCGTTGTTGTTGTCATTGTCGTTGTAGTCGTCGTTGTCGTAAACTTTTCACATTTTCATCTCAAGAACCACTGGGCCAATTTCAACCAAACTTGCTACAAAGTATCATTGGGTAAAGGGGATTCAAGTTTGTTCAAATGAAGGGCCATGCCCTTTTCCAAGGGGAGATAATTGTGAATTAGAGAAAAATTAATGGCATTTTTAAAAAATCTTCTTCTCAAGAACCACTGGGCCAGGAAAGGTGAAAATCAAGTGGAATCATCCTCAGGTAGTGTAAATTCAAGTTTGTTCAAATCATGACCCCCGGGGGTAGGATGGGGACAATATGGTCAATCAAATTTTTACATAGGAAGATATAGGAAAAATTTTTAAAAATCTTCTTAAGAACCACTGGGCCAGGAAAGATGAAACTCATGTGGAATCATCCTCAGGTAGTGTAGATTCAAGTTTGTTCAAATCATGACCCCCGGGGGTAGGGTGGGGCCAAAATGGCCAATCAAAGTTTTATATAGGAATATATAGGAAAAATCTTCTTCTCAAGAACCATAGAGATAGGAAAGATGAAACTCATGTGGAATCATCTTCAGGTAGTGTAGATTCAAGTTTCTTCAAATCATGACCCCCGGGGGTAGGGTGGGGCCCAATAAAAGTTTTAAATAGGAATATATAGGGAAACCTTTTAAAATCTTCTTTTCAAGTACTTCAAAACCATGCTTAGTGATATTTATAGGGAATCATCCTCAGGTATTGTAGATTCTAGTTTGTTCAAATCATGATCCCCTGGGGGATTAAAATTCAAGCCCCCTCCCCCCTCCCCACCCTCAGTTAACTTTCAGTTCTGATCTGATATGTGCTTTTTTCTAGCCAATTGCTCAGGTGAGCGATGTGGCCCCTGGGCCTCTTCTTTTTATAAGAATATCGAGGCCAATATTATTTCGGGTATAATTGAGCCATTTTGAATGGAGTTATGCCCCTTGGACTTGGAAAAATTCCTATTATTTGCAGTTTCTGTTCATTTTCTTTGCAGAGGTTTCTTATATTGAAATGAAATTTAGTATACAGAATAATCATAAGAATATCTTGGTCAAGTTTTGTTTTGGGTATGATCAAGCCATTTTGGACAGAGTTATATGCCCCTTGGACGTAGAAAAATTCCAATTATTTGGGGGAGGGGGTAACTCTTGTTTTGCACTATGCTTCTACTGATCTTTTACATTGTATTATACAAAAGTGACCCTTTAAAAGCCCATTGAACCTCTAGTTTTATATGTTGGTCTGTCTGTGGGTACACCATCAGTTTCCATTCATTTTTACATTGCACATATTGAAATGAAATTTGGTACACAGATTTTTTTTTATAAGAATATCGAGGCCAAGTATTATTTTGGGTATGATTGAGCCATTTTGGACAGAGTTATGCCCCTTGGACTTAGAAAAATTTCAGTCATTTGGGGGAGGGGGTAACTCTTGTTTTGCTCTATGCTTCTGCTGATCTTTTACATTGTATTATACAAAGGAGACCTTTTAAAAGGCCATTGAACCTCTAGTTTTATGTATGTTACATTTATTAAGGTCCTCTTTTCAGTATTACTTAAATTTCTTTTTTCTATTCAGTATTTATTTCAGCACCAAATCTTGTACCACCACTAGACAAAAATGATGAGGATGGTGCCACAGACAACAATGGTAAGACAACTTTTTAAAAAAAATTCTTAGATTCCAGATTTTCTTTAAAAAATAGGGTTGGTCAATGAAAAATAAAATGATATCGAACGTTATAATTGGCATTAGTTTTTTATTTCACACTGAAGGGTAGATCAATCTAACTAAACAAAAGTACCATGATACTATACTGTAGGAAACTTGAAAAATTCTGTTGTGAAAGTGGGGTCTTCTATCTTACGTCTTATTTTGTAATTGTTAAAATGGTTCACCATTGAGATCACCACAAAACCATATATATTCTTGCTGCTTATATCAAGATGCATTGATTTTTAAAAACATGAGAAACTAGTTCTTACTGTAACAGAGACCATTACAAATGTTCCCAAAACATTCCCCTACCCCTTATGAGACCCATTCCTTGTAAGTTTCATTAAATTTAGCAAAGTCATTGAATTATAGACTTTTAAAACTTATTTTTTCAAATATAGGGGAAAAAGCAATGCACATATACATGTAGCATGAGCAAAAACAAATCAGATATACAAGTACACATGCACACACTTAATTAAAAAAATTACCCTACTGTTATACAGATGTACACCATCTCAAAGAAAGTCATAATAAAGAATTTCACTGAAAACATAAAAAGTTACAGCACACATGAATATTAACCAGTCAGAAATCAGCACACATGCATCATGTCTCATGATTGAATAATGTAGGAACTTATATTATGTACATATATACACCTGTACTCTGATTTTCATCTTCTTTCGATCTTAAAAAACTAATCAGATTTCAGCACACATGCTTGCACATATTTTGTTGATTATTCAAATATATATATTCAATATTTTGCTTTATAAATTATATCAATATAATGTCTTAAAATTCAAAGAATTATGTTGAATAAGTAAGAGATACATGTATACATCCTATAATGACAAGTGTTAGCCAATCAAATTTAAGCATACATGAATGTATATGTCCTTGCATTTAATTCTGATAGTAGCATATTGTTGGAACCCGCCTCCATTATACCTATCTTTTTTCTCAATTTCATCCGATTATGTTTAAAACTTGGGCAGTTAAAGCCATTTAAAGTCTTAAAGTTTCAGCCAATCAAATTTCAGTGCTTGTGCATGCATGTGCTTTCAAGAATTTCTATATAAAACTTATTGTAGAACATTATGATTTATACTTACATCTTAAATTTCAAAGAATTTTGTCAATGAAGATATTGAGGATGTTGTTTTCAGGAATCAGAGTGAAGCGCATGTGCATTCTCTACACTACTAATATTTCTTTATGTAATAACTTTCAAGACACTTCATAAAAAATTATAAAAGTTATGGCTATAGTAAATATATCCCTCATTTCATTCATTGCATGTGCACGTACATGCATGCTTGTGAGCACAAAGCGACCTTCATTCCACACATCTGCACAACATGCCTATTAACCCTAAAAAGGTTCATCTCAATCGGACGAATATAGTTTCCGAGAACAGTCATGGACAAAAAAGTACTAGAGAAAAATTTTGAAAAAAAAGTAAAAACAATATGTTCACAAACTTCGTTTGGAGAACATAATTCTGGGAATCTGAGTATTTTTAGCTTACCTGAGCAAAAGGATCAAGTGAGCTTTTCTAAAAATTTGTATGTTTTTGTCGTTGTTGTTGTTATATGCCTGTCTTAAGATGGGATGTATTATGTTATAGGCTTCGTGTCCATCCTGCTGTCCGTCCGTCTGTTAGCTTTTCTTGTGTCCGGCTCATAACTTTAATACTATAAGGCCTAGAGTTATCAAACTTTGTCAGCTAATATGTCTTGGGTAGAAGGTGTGTCACGCACAAAGAGTAGGTCACTCTGACTTTTGATTAAGATGTTATAGCCAAATATGGAAAAATCCTTTCCGGCCCATAACTAGAAAACTATTAGACTTAGAATCATCAAACTTGGCCAGTTTATGCATCTTAGGTGGAAGGTGTGTCATGAACTATTTAAAAGGTCACTGTGACCTTAAATTTAAGTGAAATTTTTAAAAAAGTGTCTTTACTACTGGGTATTCATTTACACAGCCCAAAAAATGTAAGAGTGTTGCACTATCTTTATTAAAAAGTGTTAAATCAAGAAATACTAATTTTTTTTAGCATATACTTAACAGCAATCTATAACAAATATAATGTATGTTAGAGAAATACCACTGCTCCCATGTGTGTAATTATCAAGCACTGGTTAAGAAGAATTTTGATAACAGAAAATTGCATGCCAAATTAGAGAGAAATTAATGTGTCTAGTGTGAGGAGCTAACTAGTAGGGCATGGTGTTGTCTATATCCCTGGGTCAGCCTGTTGGATTAAAAATAGCTCTTGTTGGCTAATTGATATTGCATAATAAATTAATCTGATAGTAATATTATAGACATTAAATCTCAAAAAAAAGATAATCATGGAGTATTTTATATGCTGTAAAAATCAAATGTTTTATGGCAGATAGTGCAGATTGATTCATCTCTTGGTAGTAATGAGTAGAATAGCACCCAGTCAAAGATTTATTAATGAGTTCAATGTAGGAAGGCTAGCTGTCTCAATAATTTCTTTAAAGCATCTCTGATCAAGCAGTCTTATCTGTATCCTTTGGGAATTAGAAGAAATGTTGGTCAGTTTATAGCATATGTCATTTGATGTCCAGCCTTTTATTTTCACAAATAATTTGGTATTGATTAAGTTGTTCAGACTAATTTGATATTGTTTGATATGATGGACATTTGACAAGGTCTAACACAACTAGTATAGAAATCTATCAATGATGTAATATTTGTTATACATGTAATTAATGGGCTATTAATGCCTACACAACAGGGGATGGATAAACAAATATTTTAAGGAATGGAAAGATGATTGTAATTTTTTGACGGGCATATCATGCTGTCGCATTGCACTTTATTGTTGTCATAGTTAACACAATTACTCAGGTAGTGTAGATTCAAGTTTTTTCAAATGACGGCTCCTGGGGGGAAGGGGGGAGGTGTTGAGTGAGGCCGCATTTTTTATGGACGATCAAAGTTTTACATAGGGAAAAATTTTTTAAAATCTTTTTTTCAAGAACAGCAAAGCCTTTATTAGTCATATTTATGTCGAAGCATCCTCAGGTTGTGTAGATTCAAGTTTGTTCAAATCATAGGACCCCGGGGGTAGGGTGGGGCCACAGTGGGCAATCAAAGTTTTACATTATAGGAATACATAGGATGCATCTTTAAAGATCGTCTTCTCCAGAAAAACAAAACCTTGATTAGTCACATTTATATGGAAGCATCTTCAGGTAGTGTAGATTCAAATACGTTCAAATGATGACCCCAGGGGTTAACATGGGGCCATAATGGATGATGAAAGTTTTATATAGGAATATAAGGGAAAATCTTTAAAAATCGTCTTCTCAAGAATAGCAAAGCTATGATTTGTCATATTCAAAAGAAAGCATCTTCAAGTAGTGAAGATTCAAGTTTGTTCAAATTCTTGACCCCTGGGGGTAGGTTGGGACCAAAGTTGGTGATCAAAATTTTACATAGGAATACCGGTACATATGGAAAATCTTCAAAAATCTTCTTTTCAAGAATAGCAAAGCTATGATTAGTCACATTCATATGGAAGTGTTCTCAGGTGGTGTAGTTTTAAGTTTGTTCAAATCACCGCCCCTGGGGGTAGGATGGAGCCACAATGGATGATCAAAGTTTAACATAGAAGTATATAGGAAAAATCTCAAAAAAATCTGTTCAAGAACAATCATATTCATATAGAAGCATCCTCAAATAATGTAGATTCAAGTTTGTTCAAATCATTACCCCCAGGGTAGGGTTGGGCCAGAATGGGCAATGTGGCCCCTGAACTTCTTGTTCTGAATGTTTTTTTATTTTAATCCTGTTTGCCCACTAGGATGAAAATGAACACTCCAAAATGTTACTTCTTATCTACAGGACATGCCCAATAACCTTCCAAAAGGAGAATTGGCTACTGTGAAAATGTTAGAAGAGTTTTAAAAACAAGGTTTATGATTGGGGAAAACATAATCCCCACCCCTCACCCCCACCACCATTTGTCCATCAGGATGAAAATGAAAAATCCAGAAAACTATAAATGTACTTAAAGTGACTGCTTGGACAACTCAATTCCTTGGAAATCTTATGACTGTGTACTACATAGCATAAATTAATACCATGCAGAAACAATGTGTATTCATAAAACACTGGTGCCCCCATATGGCATCTCATGGAAAACATTAAAGTTTCTCAAATGCAAGTCCTTGTTTCAAGGAATAATCTGGTGAAATGTGAAAACCCCAGCACATATAATTGAAAAGGTATAGTAAAGAATAAAGTTTTTCAAAGTCAAGGTCATAGTGAAAATGCTGCCAAGTGGAGGGTTTTGTCACATGAAGTACACTTGAAGATTAATGTTTTTTATGCCCAGCCATGAATATGGCCGGGGCATATAGTGTTTGTCATGTCTGTCTTCCATCCTTCCATCCTTCTGTCCTTCCGTCCTTCCATCAAACTTTGCGTTGAGCTCTGTTCAAAGCTAAGTTTCAAAGAAATTATCCAAGACATTTTCATCAAACTTCATATGCTGATAGATATTGATGAGAGCTACAACTGCATCAACATTTTTTGACCTTGACCTTTCCTTTGACCTTGACCTCACTTTTCTTAAATTAGTGTTTAGCTAAGTTTTAAACATACCATTCAAGATGGTGTTATCAAACTTCACATGTTGATACAAACTTGCACGGATGATGCATCTATCGATGAACACTACCAGACTTGCTTCGGATGCTGGATCTGACCTACATTTTCCAGATGAGTGACCAGGTTAAAGTTTTTGGAGCAGGTCCATTCCCAAGGAACTATAAGCCCTACTTAGACCAAACTTGCATGGTTGATGCATCTAAGGATGGAAACTACTAGACTTGCTTTGGATGCTGAATCTGACCTACATTTTCCAGATGAGTGACCAGGTTAAAGTTTTTGGAGCAGGTCCATTTCCAAGGAACTATAAGCCCTACCCAAACCAAACTTGCACGGATGATGCATCTAGGGATGAACTCTACCAGACTTGCTTCAGATGCTGGATCTGACCTATATTTTCGTTCCTAAGTAACTATAAGTAATACCTGAACCAAACTTGCATGGATGATGCAGCTAGGGATGGACACTACCAGACTTACTTCGGATGCTGGATCTGACCTAGATTTTCATTCCCAAGTAACTATAAGCCCTACCTGAACCAATCTTGCATGCATGATGCAGCTAGGGATGAACACTACCAGACTTGCTTCGGCTGCTGGATCTGACCTATATTTTCATTCCCAAGTAAGTATAAGTCCTACCTGTACCAAACTTGCATGGATGATGCAGCTAGGGATGGACACTACCAGACTTGCTTTGGATGCTGGATCTGACCTAGATTTTCATTCCCAAGTAACTAAAAGCCCTACCTGAACCAAACTTGCATGGATGATGCAGCTAGGGATGGACACTACCAGACTTGTGTGGGATGCTGGATCTGACCTATATTTTCATTCCCAAACTTGCTTGGATGATGCTATACCAGTCTTGCTTTGGATGCCTGACCTATAACCAAACTATAAGCCCTGCCTGGATGATGCAGCTAGGGATGGACACTACCAGACTTGCTTCGGTTGCTGGGTCTGACCATTTTTATTCCCAAGTAACTATAAGCCCTACCTGCACCAAACTGATCAAATTTCATACACATACAAATTTTCATGTTGCTTTACTAATATATCCTCGGCGAGGCATTCATGTCCTATGGACATATTTCTAGTTTATTTTTTAAGTAGATCAAACTGCAAGACCAAGGGGTCAAAACTTGTCACAGGAGATCACGTGAGGTATAAAAGCATTAAAAACAACTGTTTAAAATTAAGTTATAACCAAGGTTAAAGTTTTTCTAAACTGTCTAAAACTACGAAGTCAAGGTAAAAGGTCAAAAGTGTTTGTACATATATCTAAAAGAAGGTCATGTGACATGAAATAAGCCTGTGAATTATGAAAACTCTAGTACTAACTGCTCAAAAGTTTGTTTTTTTTTAAAAGTGTGTCAAACTCTAAGATCAAGGGTCAAAATTGTCACTACAAAGTTAAAGAAGCACTCAAAACATCAGTATAATTATTTGATGATAAAGTGTTTTCTTAGCATTCTAAATGTCCGGTCCATGAA